CTCCAAAGACCATATTGTATACCAGAAAGTGATACAGAGATAAGATGTAGTCATTGCTGTCAAGGAGCTCATGTTTTACATGATAAGGGCTGTGATACAAACTGGTACAAACCACAGAAGTACCAGCCGGGCAGGGGAAGATGAGGTCTGCCCGGGAAGCTGGAGGAGGGTGCACAGAGGCAGCACCATTTCTGCTGGTGTAAGGTGTTTCTAGTCTTTTTTTGAAAATGCATATAATAAAAATTTAAACAAATCCACTTAAAGACACTTATCCAAAAGAAGTTTTATTTTTATGATATTTTTCACATTTTACTGTAAGTAATGTGAGATCCTTAATAGATTTTCAGATAACCACACTTTAAAAAAAATTTAAAGACAGGAATGTTTAACAGGAAAATGCTACATAATTAGGAACTAGTGATATTTAAAGTTGCATTATTTATGCTGAGGGTAGGAAACATAAATGATCTTGATTTCATTTCATCTGGTCTGTGACGGCATTTCTAAAGTTGAATGTCTGTTGGTCGTCCACTACCCTGTTGTCAAAATCCACAAGGAACAGTTGTACAAATATTTGTAAGAAAGTTCCCCTGGCGAGTACAAAGGCCTTGCTTATAACAAGAACATTTTAAGTATGTGCAGGATCCACTGAGCCATCAGCCTTCATGGGAGGCACATTTCCATAGTCAGTCACCAGCTATTTCTGTGTGCCCCGTGTGCATGTGTGAGGCCCTGTGCTGGAGCTGGTCACCATTCCATGTGTGAGGCCATAGGCACTCAACCAGTGTGAGTAGAAAAGGCGTTGAATAGACTTTCTGACAGATCCAGGGTCCAGGCAGACAAGGACCCAGAGGCACTGATGAGAAACGGGACAGGCTGGAAGGTGTGAGGGTGATTTTGACTAGCTCTATCAGGGATAGGCTTGGGTGAGAGTCCAAATCAGGGTAAGAGATGGGATCTCAAACCACCTTCACTGTACCTGAATTTAACTTGCCATTGTCCTTTTTATGTGTTCTCTCTCTTTTGTATTAATGTGATCTATAATTAAACACACAATTGTACGATGTAGTTAACAGCAGTAAGCATTTTTCTCTTTCTTCCTCCTCCTCCTCCTCCTCCTTTCCTCCCTTCTATTCTCTCTAGGAATCAATTGGGAAACAGCCTTTATCTTTGGGTGAAGATTAAAATAATAATAATAATAATAACAACAACAACAACAACAATAAATAAAAGGAGTAACTGTTCTCTTCATGACTATGAGTAATGGTCTCCTTGTGTATCATTGTATAGTGATATATTATCTAATAAGAGTCTCATGGTGACCCTATAAGCTAGGCAAGATAGATGAAAAAGTTGAGACTCTACAAGGTTACTTTCTCATGTTATTCAACTTGTAATTGAGGAACATTACATACAGAATTAGATGTTCTGACTGCAAATAAAGTGAAAATTACACTATGTGATGAATTTCATATTCTTTAGAATACTGAAATTACGAAGCTCTCTAACTTGATTTCAGTACTCTAAAGAATATTGAAATTATTCTTCAATAAGAATACCCCACTCCTTTCTTCCACTCAAAACGTCAAATGCTTTTTACGTGTATTAAACTACTTTTTAATCTGTGCTACCATGATGCCCATGACTTCTCCTAATAGTATAATTAGTATTTCTCTTAGTAAGAGTGAAACTAAGCATATGTTTATATATTTCAGTGCATTTGAGTCCTGTGTCCCAACTGTTTCTCATGTTTCACAGACTCCTATTGATCATTGACCTTTTTCTTGCTTATTGTAGGCGTTGTTTAAGTATTAGGGAATTATGCCTTTGTCTTAGCTATGACTTAGTCTTTTCATCATAGTCAGTACATTTTCTTCATGATACTTATTCCTGTTTTTTATGATTTCTTTATTTATGATTATTTTTTAAAGCTCCATCAGATCAAGCCCATGTTTATTTGTTCATCATTGTATATTGAGCACCAAGTAAAATGCTGAACATCTAGTAAACGATCAATAAATATTTATGCATGGGCCAAAAGTGACAAAGAGAATCTTGGTCCATAAGTAAACTGGGAACTTGGAAGGGAACGATTTTGTATGGGAATGTGATGCGTTTGTTTTTGGATACGTGACATTTAGGTGACAGCCAATTTGGCAAGATACTCACGAGGATTTCAGAATCATCACCATGAAGTGTTTGATTGGAAACAGATCTCTGATGAACCAACACTTCCAATCAAAAACTATTTCAAGTGATTAGAGTTGTTACAACAACTTTCAAACAAATATGAAAAGAAAAGAAAAATAGAAGCATTATATATTTGCAAGTATAAAGATATAGGGAATGTAGAAAAATGTTAATGCCTTGGAACAATAATTATTAATACAAAGTATTTAGCTAATATGTTATAATTATGACCCAGTTACTTATTGTGAAGAAAAGAAAAACCTTTACTAGTGGAAAGCTGAGTTCATTGTACTCACATACTAGTAAGCTTGTGGAAATCAAAAGCGCTTTTATTGTATAATGTAGGCTACTTGGATTACCAGTGTATTCTGTTTTTCAGTTTAAATTGGACATTGATTGTGTTTTCTATTACTGAAATACCACTGAGAGGTAGTTACTATCAATTTAGTCTCCAACTGCATGGAAAAAAAGGACTCATTCAGTCTTCTAAAAAGAAATGCTTATTTTTTTTCATAACAGAGACATTATCCTAAAATAAACTATATATATATATAATTGAATAACCATTTGACTTAAATAGATATGAAACAGTCCCTTTAATAAATCTGTTATGAAGTTATAGTCCCTGTTCAATAATTGTAAGAAAATAACTTGGGCAGGATTTGATTTTGATGGCTAGCAGATGTGGCATCTCGGTGTCAATCTCGATTTTCAGACGAGCCTGTGGATTAAAATATACTGTCTTTGAAGTATACATTTTTCTCCTTTACATTAAAATCTATGAGTTGAGAAATGAGGATATGTATATAATTGTGCTGGACAGACGAATAGATTATTTAGACAAAAGTCCTGGTTGTGTTGGGATGCCTTTTGGCTAGACATTTAGCTATCTTTGCCTTATTGATCAGAATTCCTGGTATTCCGGGCATTTTTGTTATGAGAACAGAGTTTTTATATAATCATCAGATCCTTCGTTGCAGGTAAGGGCTTGTCAGTGAAGAAGGAAGTGATCTGTAGCAAAGACACAGAAAACATGAAGAAAATACATCTACTTAAACAGGCGTAGCAGCAGCTTATCACGGTCTGGCTGGCTGAGCACCAGCTGGTAGTACACACTGGAGGAGGCATATAGTGTCACTTCGAGGGATTTCAAGAAGCCAGTCAGCCCGGCCAGTGTTGCTCAGTGGTTGAGAATCAACCTAGGAGCCAGCAGGTCACAGTTCAATTCCCTATCAGAACACATGCCTGAGTTACAGACTCGGTTCCCAGTGAGGGGCCTTCAGTAGGCAACTGATCAGGGATTCTCTCTATCGTTGATATTTCTAACTCCCTCGCCCTTCCTCTCTGAAATCAATAAAAAATATATTCTTTAAAAAAATAAAACATAATTAATTAAAAAAGGAGCCAGTCAACTGCTAATGCTGAATTCCCAGAAGTGCTCATTTTCTACTTAAAATAGGAACATTTATTCCTTGAGAGAAAGAAAAGAAACTTCTAGAGGGGCCTGTGTTTAGGAAGGAAATAGTTATGAATTTTTGGACAGGGTCTTATTGTATACAACTTGTGTTAAAAGACTGGAGATTAAGATAAAATAAAGCTTGTTTTGTTTTCCTTCATTATAAAAATAACCGTCTGAGAGCTATTCTCAAAGAACATCCCCTACAAAGCAGTGGTGACAGAGTAAGGTTTTATTTCATCAGATGGTCATGGTACCTACATTTTTGCTCTGCCTCCCACTGAAACTTGGGTAAATGGAAGTCAGTGGTTTGTGGCTATAGCCCAGTTACTTCCCTGTGCATGGAGTCCATTCTGTAGTGCATTAATCTATCTTCTACCCATCGAAGGAGCCATGATAAGCTAGTATCAAGGACTGATCGGAAAGGTTAGTTAAACTCCTTAGCAATATCCAGGGATAGAATAGAGGGATGGAAACCATTCTCTTCTAAAGGGTTCTAATTGTAATATAAGAGACTGTGACTCCCTCATTATGGTGTGAGGACAAAAACATACTCTTAACAGAAACATGGCCAAATAATTGCTTGCTTACTTCAGTCTCCATCTCTTTTTTTAAAATATATTTTATTGACTTTAGAGAGGAGGGGAGAGGGAAGGAGAAAAAGAGAGAAACATCAATGATGAGAATCATCAAAATGGCAACCTCCTGGTTCATAGGTCAATACTCAGCCACTGAGCCACACCAGTCGGGCAGTCTGTATCTCTTTATAGCTAAATTTTCTCAGACCCATGACAGAAATGGAAGCTAAGTTTAGCCAGTAGTCTGGCCGTTTATGTTTAGTGCATAAAATTCTTATTAACAAAATATAATCCATTGTAAATGACTTTGCTAAGCTTTTAAACTTCATAAGGAATTCTGTCTTGTCCAAAAGCTGCTTTCAAACTGTGCTGACCCGGCATGCATGCACCATTCCCCGTGGAGCTGAGTGCAAGGATGCAAAGAGAGCCAATTAAAGAACCTTAGAGCCAGAAGAACCGAGCAGAGGCCATCTTGTCCACCCCTCTGCCTCCAGGCAAAAACCATCCCCTGCACCCAGAATCTGTACTTGAATCCAGCTGACAAACATGCTCACCCTGTAAATGACAAGCAGCTTATCTGTTCAGGACTTATGCCTGACGTTCTCAAGATGCTGAGTAGGAAAGCTCATCCGAATTGTTCTAATTCCTCCTTCTAGGAAGTTATTTTGTTCAAGAAATGGTCTCAAATCATTGTAAAGATGTGGGAGTCTGTGTGTGCGCCTCGAAGTTATCTTTGTCATCATATTGAGTGTATTTTCGGCTTCCTTTCACTCTAGGTCTACCTTATGGGTGGGAGGAAGCTTACACAGCAGATGGAATCAAGTACTTCATCAAGTAAGTACAAGCGTCTCCTCCAAGTAAGCAAGTTTTTCACATCTGGCGGGAACCTGGGAGTTGCAGGCTAATCAGCAAAACCACGGCACCCTCTTGGAGGTTACAGAAATTAGAAACAAGAAATGAAGGCTCACCATTTTCACTTTGTGTGATTTAAATGTTAATGTCAGATGTCATTTGGGAAACAAAATTCAAAAAATAATTTCAAGGGAAACATCAAAAAATTGGAACATGGTCATCATTGGAACTTAAATAGTGACTGCTGGGATTCACTTCTGGCTTAAGGTATTAATATTTGTGAAAAGTTAATCTAATGAAAACCCCACTTAAAACTCCTCAATAATAGTGCTAAGAATGAATATTCTTTTTTTTTTTAATTTCTTCATTGACTAAGGTATCACATATTTGTCTTCCTCCCCCATTCCCATCCCAAACCCCTCCCCACACATGCCCCCACCGCCCTTTTATTCGTGACCACTGGTTAGGCTTATATGCATGCATACAAGTCCTTTGGTTGATCTCTTCCCCTTTTCCCTACCTTCCCCTTCTTTCCCTCTGAGATTTGACAGTCTGATCGATGCTTCCCTGTTTCCGGTCTGCTTTGGTTCATCAGTTTATGTTGTTCATTATTTCCCCTAGATGAGTGAGATCATATGATACTAGAAATACAGTTATAAGAACCGAAAATGAGACAAGTAATAATGGTTATGCTGAGAGACAAATGAATCAGTCTGTTGTGAGTTTCTTTCTGGGCCAACAGTTCTTTTGAGTCCCATTTTCAGTGTCAAACAGTTCCTTACATGTACATCTCTGCAATGATATTTCAGTTCTGGATGGTGGACACAATCTGCACAGTTCATTTACCTGAAAATACTTTTCCTATCTTAGTGGATTCTCAGAACACCCTTTTTTATGTACCATATTCTCCCTGTTTGATAATAAGAGCCTAGAGTGGTAGCCAAAAATCCACAACCACAAAGTTACCAAACCAGAATAGAATTCATCTTCTAACTCCAGGATTCTCCCTAATAGACTAGACCAATGGTTGGCAAACTCATTAGTCAACAGAGCCACATATCAACAGTACAACGATTGAAATTTCTTTTGAGAGCCAAATTTTTTAAACTCAAACTTCTTCTAACGCCACTTCTTCAAAATAGACTCGCTCAGGCCGTGGTATTTTGTGGAAGAGCCACACTCAAGAGGCCAAAGAGCTGCATGTGGCTCACGAGCCGCAGTTTGCCGACCACGGGACTAGACTGTCTCCAAAAGAAACCTGTCTTTGAAAGGAATACATTTTCTAGCTGCTGTCCTGGTTAGCTTTACCTTTCAAAGCAGTCTGATATACTTCCACTATGTTTGGGACCATTCTTTTCATGTCAGATTTGAGTTATAAGGGCAAAAATGACAGACTCCTAAGATCCCAAGAGACTTCCTGAGTTGTCCTCTTTTAACTAATACTTGCTGTGCATTTGGGGAGGAAGAAGGAGGCGTTCTTGCTGTCCTTTCAGATGTGCAGGTATTTTCCAAAGCAACAGCCAGATTTTGGATCCTCGGGCTCTGTGACTTGACACAGGTTCCTATATTTCTCTTCACCCCGGTTTTCTCATCATAAAGTCAGGGAAATATTACCTACTTTATGAAGTTGTCCAATGATAAGTAAGCATTTAGCATAGAATTTTGAACATAATAGGTGCCCAATAAGTTCTCAGAAATTTACAATATGAAGAAATCATCTTGGTGGGGGGAAAAACATGAAAAATAATGTAACCATTAACAACATTGAGAATTCAAAAGCTTCATATTTGAAAATATTTAATAAAAAATTAGGGGTAAACTTCTCAAAGTATTGTCATGATATATTTTTTCTTGTGGTCTCCAGCAAAAAAAAAAAAAAAGTAATTCATACAGCAAAGGTGTGGTTTGTAACCTGTAGAGGGCAGGGGACTGATAGAGCAGAGGACCCAGGAATTCCATGCATAGATCACATTTAGCCCCTTACTGTTCACTTCCAGAACCATCTCTCTTCTGGAAGGGAAGTTTCACTCTGATATGCTGGGTTAACTATGGTTAGTTCTTGGACGATTGAATAACTGGGCTTTCAGGATGGCAGGAAGATGAAAAACCGTATTCAAATCTGCTTTGGTTTCTTCCTCATAATAACTTTGTAATAAATAAGGGAAAAGATATGACGGTGGTGAAGGAAATAAGCATTAATTGGGCGTTAGCTGGTGGTTGAATAGCCAGGCACGTGTTAGGTGTATTTTTCTATGCATTGTGTCATTAAATCCTCCTAACAATGTGGAAAGTGGGCACCGCTCAGCTCTAATAACAATGGTATTCTGATGGTGGTTTAGCTGCCTCCTGTCCTCAGCCATGCTTGTCTTCTAGAAGGTCCCCAAAGAACTGCCTTATCAAAGAAAGGCAAACTAGTATTCATTATGCACCGGGGTTCTGAGTTCAAAGATATTTGGAAAATGGCAGTGAATGAGTGTGGACCCTGTGGGGACTCTTTGCTAAACAGCCTTAGCCGTCTGTCAGTGTATTCCAACCAAAAGGTGAGGTCAGGGCCCAACTAGTGTCATAGGAGGAAAGGCTACGAAAGGATCATCAACTACCAAGGAGGAGGAGGGAGCAGGAGAGGGCCAGCAGAGAGCGAGTGTGCCCTGGGGCCTATTACCCAACTGGCTTATGCGGTCGTCCTTTGTAGCCGGAACACTAGCCTGAGCTTGGCTCCCTCCTACTCCAGGGAGAATAGCCCCCGAGCAGAGGAGAGAAGAGAAGGAATACATAAGTCCTCTGACTGCCCTGAGATCTAAGTCACTGTTCCTGTGGAAGAAATAGGAAGAAACACTACATTTATATAGTGGACTCCGGTCTAGAAAATGTACCCCTTGGAGTGTGCTTTGGAAGGTCATCAATAGTTTTCTTTGACCTTTATATCAACTCATAAGGAAAGCAGAAAAGGGTAATAAGACAGATTTGTTCCCAAAGGACAATGGTGGGCATCATTGTCTCACCATTACAGTCTGAGAAACTGTGTGGACAGGAGACTAAACCTGTCAAGGTCACACAGCAGTGAAATCACACAGACCCAGGGTTGTCTGCTCCATAGCCACCCCTGCCTCCTACCACGCACATGCACACACACACACACACACACACACACACACACGAATGCACTGCACCTCCTCCATCTCCTTATTTTAATGTTTACATGTGACAAAGAAGACATTTTAAACAGATCTTCATTTAAGAACTGTATATTTTATTCATTTTAAAATAGCAGATTAGAAACTTAGTTCTAAGAATGAGTACTTACCTCCTGAAGATCAGAAAGATCAACTAGTAGAGATAACAAAAATCTAACACTATACCAGTGCTTCCTTTCCCAGCCTCAGGGGGGAGGAACAGGGTGCATACCAGAAATTGGATTTGTGGGGAGTGGGGTTGGCTAGAAATTATCCCTATTCAAGCACCTACCCTTATTTTAGCTTTATTCTTTATGAAAGTCTTACTTAATAATTGTTACATAATTCCCTACCTTTCAGGCCACTGAACAAACACAAATTATTGCAAATGTCTAACTTATACATAATACAGTGAGTTCTGCAGGGGGATATTAGGCCGTATAAGCTAGAATACAGGTACAGCGGTCACTTCTCTGTTCTCAATATGCCTGTCTATCCCTCACCCCACTCTTCTTTTTTATCCTCTATACACTTCCCCCTTTTCCCCGGGAGTTTCTTATTTGAAAGGACAGGGCAACCAGATAATCAGACTAAGTTGAATTGCTTGTCAGTAGCCCTTGAGGTGTTTCTACAGGGGTTTGTGTGTGAGTCAGGTACATACGTTCCTGTACAGGTGCCTTCCATCAGGAAGGTCGTGTGCTAGAGGGGAAAAAGGAGCATGAGCCTTGGAGTGGGGGAAACTGGGTTCAAATGCTGGTGTCTCTGTAGAATAGGTGAATGACGGACATGTGGGCTTATCCTCTCTGAGCTTTAATTCGCACATTTATGAGATGGGAAGAATGTTAGTGCTTCCCAGGCTAGTGTTTCTGTCCAGAATGAATGAGCTTATGTATGAAAAGAGCCTATCACAGCACCTGCCCCAAATTAGCAACTTTTAGCCAAAGTGAGCCCCTCTCATTCCCCCACTCACTCTAACATTTGATGGGCTTACTTGTTGGCTCTTAGCTGCATTCAGATAGATGATTCCGCCAGAGAAGTAGTGTCTGCATAAACACACATCTACTCTGGGTCTTTCTTGGAACTTTGTTTTGTTTTTTTGCTTTTTGTTTTTTTAAATCTTGATCCTCCCACTACACCAACCAACATTTGAGCCTGGAGAGCCTGTGCTGTTTTTTGAGGTAGCAGTGGTTCATTTACTAGATTAATGTACTTTGGAGGCAAGGAATAACGAGTAATTAATCCAGGTTATTGCCTCTCTCACCTGTACTTGTGATTAAAACCACCCTCCGGGAGAGGAGGTGATGGTCTGTGTACTTAGTCTTTCCCTGGAGATTGACATCTGTCGCTGGCATCCCAGGAATTGAATTATTACCTCTGATGGAAGCCACGCCTCAGGCACAGGTCAGCGCTGCCAAGAATGCCCAGACAGATACTGTCCATCCCTGTCCATCCATTGCGCAGCTATTAAAACTTTGTGGTTGTCTAGTTCGGCTCTGACTCAAGGGAAGAAAGCATTGCACCTGGTGTCAACAAGTTTATGCCAAGTGTTGGTGTTATGCAAAGAGCCGAGAAAACCTCAGCATGTTGTTTGCTGATTCCAAAGAAATAACTCCCTGAGGACAAGCCGTGAAAGACATGGGTGGACAAGGACTAGCCTGTGCATCATACAGGAGAGTGGGGGGTGGATTCTGCCACACAAACTTTCCAAGTACCGTGTTATACAGAGTCCAGAAAACACAGCACGCAGCACGCAGGCCGTTTCTCTGCAGCTGTTTACTGTCTGCATTCACATCACAAGCAGGTTCTCCC